CAGTGTACACAGCGTCACTGATTATAATGGTTTCTACTGTATTTTGCCGCTCGCGTCCGGTGTAGACACGCTGTTTAATGTCGTTGGTGAGGAAAGCCTGTGTGTGTCCTATGCCTTAGCGGACAGCATGAAACCCACAAAAAATAAATAAATAACAGAGAGAGAATAATAATAATAACAGTTATTCTCTCTATGCTATTTTTCAGTGTTTCAAGTGATGCAGGTGTTTTTTTAATTAAAAAAGCATACATTTTTCATAATGTTTAATGAAATTATTTGGTAGTCTGAGGTGGAATGGGGATTTGGGAAAGGAGGGCAGATTTTTTTTTATAGGTTTAAAGGGGGGTGCGACAACAAAAATTTGAGAACCACTAGTCTAAAGTTAACAGACAGTGTTTAGTGCAGTCCACATGTTTACATATGTTTATTACAGTGACTTTGAATTACCTAAACAATATACTGTGATTGTAGTTGTTAAATAAAAATGTCATTCATATCAATTCATGCATCACCTAATTTCATCGTAACATATAGGCCTGGCCTACAGAAAAGAACATTTATGTTTAATCTATCTAATAGTGTGTTGGGCATACTATACAATGATTTATAGCTTGTCTTTGTTGAATAATACAGAACATAAAGAGCGTTAAAAAATAATTGCATATTAAATCGCAATCAGATTATTTTCCAAAATCGTTCAGCCCTACTTTCTTCTGTTTCCTCTGCATAGGGTTTATATATCAAGGTTTCGTTTAATTATTTGTTTAGTTTTCAAAATTCTCTATTTGCTGTCATTGAAGCAAATGTTTGTTTTCTGACCATCAGCTTCTAAAGCAGTCGAATGTCTGCTGGATTCAAAGTGGGCCAAAGCAAAGAAGGGCGAGGAAGCTTTGTTCACAACCAGAGAGTCGGTGGTGGGCTACTGCAACAGGTAAACCTAGTCTTTTCTCTCATTTCACGATACTGATGGGACTTTCTGTGGTATTTGATACTACTAAGCTTTTGAAAAAGTCTCTTATTGTCACCAGTAAAAACACTTATGTTGTGAAATATTATTAAGTTGGCTTGAAAAAGCCAACTTACTGAAATCCTATTTAAACCTTCTTCTTCTTCTTCTTCTTCTTCTTCTTCTTCTTCTTCTTCTTCTTCTTCTTCTTCTTCTTCTTCTTCTTCTTCTTCTTCTTCTTCTTCTTCTTCTTCTTCTTCTTCTTCTTCTTCTTCTTCTTCTTCTTCTTCTTCTTCTTCTTCTTCTTCTTCTTCTTCTTCTTCTTCTTCTTCTTCTTCTTCTTCTTCTTCTTCTTCTTCTTCTTCTTCTTCTTCTTCTTCTTCTTCTTCTTCTTCTTCTTCTTCTTCTTCTTCTTCTTCTTCTTCTTCTTCTTCTTCTTCTTCTTCTTCTTCTTCTTCTTCTTCTTCTTCTTCGAGACCAAATTTTAAAATGTATCTGCTCCTAGACTTTTAAAGCTACAACCACCAAACTCGGGTCAGACCTTCAGACTGGTCTGACTCGGGTTGCTATATCTTTTCTAACTGATCCGGCTTACGGTTTTCGTAAACCAGACTATCAAAACCACCTAAAATCTCGTAGAATTTCATTGCATAACTTTTATACAATGAGACTTGTGGTGTATTTAAGCTGTCTACTGCTATAGCAAAGCTTAAAAACTCCCTACTGAAAAAACAGCTAAAACCAGCCTAAGCTGATTGGCTGCTTTGGCTGGTCTCCCAGGCTGGTTTTAAAGTGGTTTTGGCAACTTTTTAGCTGGTCAGGCTGGTCTTCGCTGGTCAAGCTGTGAGACCTGCTAAAAGACCAACCAAGCTTAACCCAGATATTTTCAATTTAAACCAGCTAAGACTAGGCAACCAGCCTAAGCTGGTTTTAGCTGGGTTTTTACTGAATCAACTGGGCTTAGCTGGTTTTTAACTTTTTTTTTTTACTGAATCAACTGGTTTTAGCTGGTTTTAACTGTATTAGCATAGAAACATGCAAACAACATGTTAATCATGCTAGAAACATGCTGGCAACATGCTAGTAACTTGCTGATCAGGCTAGGAAAATGCTAGCGACATGCTAGTAACTTGGTAATCATGCTAGCAACATGCTGGTAACTTGCTAATCATGCTAGCAACATGCTAGTCATGCTGGAAACATGCAAGCGACATGTTAGTCACTTGCTAATCATGCTAATGGCATGCTAATCACTTGCTAATCATGCTAATGACATGCTAGTGTCTTGCTAGTAATGCTAACAACACACTAGTCACTTTCTAATCATGCTAGCAACATGCTAGTCACTTCCTAATCATGCTGGAAACATGCTAGCGACATGATAGTAACTTGCTAATCATGCTAATGACATGCTAGTCACTTGCTAGTCATGCCAGCAACATGCTAGTCACTTGATAATTATGCTAACAAACATGCTAGTCACTTGCTAATCATGTTAAAAACATGCTAGTGACATGCTAGTCACTTGCTAATCATGTTAGCAACATGCTAATAACTTGCTAATCATGCTAGAAACATGTTAACGACATGCTAGTAACTTTGCTAATCATGTTAACGACATGCTAGTCACTTACTAGTCATGCTAGCAACATGCTAGTCACTTGCTAATCATGTTAGCAACATGCTAATAACTTGCTAATCATGCTAGAAACATGTTAACGACATGCTAGTAACTTTGCTAATCATGTTAACGACATGCTAGTCACTTACTAGTCATGCTAGCGACATGCTAGTCACTTGCTAATCATGCTAATGACATGCTAGTTACTTGCTAATAATGTCATCGACATGCTAGTTACTTGCTAATAATGCCAGCAACATGCTACATGCTAAAAACATGTTAGCAACATGCTAGTCATGCTAGAAACAGTCTAGCAACCACCCCAGGTACCCTAGCAATATGTTTTATACCTATCTGTTTTTCTTATAGACTGTATTGCCTTGAAAACATTCAAACTTTAATCTTTAAAACTATTTTAACTTTCAAACTACTTCAAACTGAAAACTTTCAGACTGCAAGCTTTTAAAACTTTTTCAAACTTTCTAGCTAGGTTTTTTCAAGCCAACTTAAAGTTTGTCTACAAACTTTTTAATCTAGTTACAATTTAAAAATAAAAAATTATTTTAAAGTGTAATTTATTCCTGTGATTGCAAAGCTGAATTTTAAGGAGCCATTAATTCAGTCTTCAGTGTCACACTGTCTCACACAATCCTTCAGAAATCATTAATATGCTGATATGGTGCTTAAGAAACATTTCTTATTATCAGTGTTGAAAATAGTGTGGGATGTTCTTTTGAGGATTTTTTTTATGAATAGAAAATTCCAAAAGAACAGCATTTATTTGAAATATTTTGTAATATTATAAATGTATTTTGATTAATCAATGTGCCCTTGCTGAGTAAAAGTAAACCGCAGACTTTTGAATGGTAATGTATATGTCAGTCAACTACTAATTTGAACTGTCTTACTATTCACAGGCTCCTAAAGAAGCAGTTTTTCCACCGAGCCCTGAAAGTGATGAAGAAGAAGCCAGAGAAAGATGCAAAGAAAGAGAAAGAGAAAGAAAAAGATAAGGCTAAAAGTGACAGTGGCAAAGAAGAGGAGAAAAAAAGCAAAAAGGACAAAGATAAAAAGAAGGACTCTGAGGCTGTAGACACAAAGAAGGAAAAAAATGTATGACATATTTACAGGATAAGAAAACGCAAAGAAGTCCTGTTACATTTGAGGTCTTTTTGCATATTTGCATATCATGATTCTTATTTTTAAGTCTTGTTTCTGTATGTTTAGGATGACAGTCCAGGATCTCCGAAGAAGAAGAAGGACGTGAAAAAGAAATTCAAGCTGGAACCTCATGAGGACCAACTGTTCTTGGATGGCAATGAGGTCAGGATCAGTTCAGAAAATCATATCTAACAGATGCTTGTAAATATCATACGTTTTGCTTGACAATTAGTCATACAAGTATTTGCAATGAACAGTTTGTCTGCTTTATATGGTATACAGTGTAATACACATACACTTTATCTAGTAGTATTTTTTTTTTTCACATTGAACATGGAATCAAATAATCAAATGTATGATTAACAATATTTTTGATTTTGCAAACAACACTGCACAGGGGTAGCATAGTGTTATTTTGGTATTATTTATATATATTATAATATTTATTAATATTTTGAATTAGCTTTTATTTCTATATTTCAGTTTCATTTTAATTTTACTTTTAGTAATTTTTTATGTTCTTCTGTAAATGTTATAATCATTTAAATGTATTTTTATTTCAGTTTTATTTAACTTATTTCAGTTAGTTGCCAAGTCAACATTTCTCATTTTTGTGTAAGGTTTTTTAAGTTTGTTTTTTATTTGTAATAGTTTTAGCTTCAGTTAACAAAATCAACACTGGTAACAATTTTATTTTAATGCCTTAATATTTAATAATAACAACAATCATCATTTTATGTCATTTATATATGTATTTTCTTCTTGATCTTATTATTATTATTATTATTATTACGGTTGTTATTTAAAAAAAAATAGATAATTTATTATTTACACTGATGTTTTGGAACCCAGCCAACCTGAATATATATTATTATTATATTATATAATATTATTATATTATATAATAATTATATGATGAGTGTTGTCAGTGTTGTTGTGCTGATTATTAAAATAATTAATAAAAATGAAAATTCTTGTTGTGAATTCTTCACTTTCACATGTATTTAATTTTTTTAAATTTTGTTGTAGTGCTTAAAAAGCTATATTTGTCTTCCCTACAGGTTTATTTTTGGATTTACGATCCAGTCCATTTCAAAACCTTTGCCATGGGCTTGATTCTAGGTAGGATCTCTTTTTCTCCAGTTGAGCCTGACTGTCGTTTCACTGGCTCCAGTACCGATTCAGAGCTTTGTGCGTGTTTGCAGTGATTGCCGTCATCGCAGCCACTCTGTTCCCGCTCACACATACTCCCATGCTCCATGTGGACCTGCTGACGTACTTCTGTCATGTTCAGAAGATGTTTCCCATTTCTGTTCAGGCTGAGATCTTCCTCTGAAAACAGACAGGCTTAAAGGTTAAACGAGAGCAGGAAACGGCTACGATGACAATGAAAATATTTGCAAAGGCTGTTTGGTTTCCCTAATAATGCTTCCCCCACTATGGACGCAACAAGTCTCCCTGACCCCATGTTTCTCTGGTTTACTTCATTTTTCTTTTTCGTTCATGTTAACTATCTAATGTAAAGGATTTTGTTGTATAAACATGTTGGTAATGTTAAGAAGGACTGGACTGGTGAACTTTCTCAATGGTTTTTAACCCACAGATTCGCTTTCCAATCTAGTGAGAAAAAATTCAAATCGCTGTGGCCCGCTGAGATGAGAGTTGGTGTGTATTACCTGAGCGTGGCAGCGGGATGCTTCGTCGCAGGCATACTTCTCCTGGCCATTGGTACAAGTTCTAGACTTATATCTTGTGTTGTACAATTTCACATTACAGTTCAATGACACTGCATTATCTGTCTTTTCTCATTTTCCCTTTGGTTCAGCTCGCTGCATCCTGTTCATGATCATCTGGTTAGTGACCGGTGGCCGTCATCACTTCTGGTTCCTACCGAACTTGACAGCCGACGTGGGCTTTATCGACTCCTTCCGTCCCCTCTACACGCACGAATACAAGGGTCCGCGCTCCAGCTCCAAGAAATCCAGCAGCGAGAAATCCGACAACAAGGGTGCAGATTCAAGCAAAGCGCAGAAATCAGATAGCGAGGACAAATCGGACAGCGAGAAGAAAGACGGCGATGAGGAAGAGGATGAAGACGACAATAAAGAAATTGAGGCGAGCGAGGAAGCAGGTGCAGAACGTCAGTCGGACACAGACAGTGACAGACGAGAGGATGAAGGGTCGCAGCACAGCAACGGCAACGACTTTGAAATGATCACCAGAGAAGAGCTGGAGAGTCTCCCTGACCCCATGTTTCTCTGGTTTACTTCATTTTTCTTTTTCGTTCATGTTAACTATCTAATGTAAAGGATTTTGTTGTATAAACATGTTGGTAATGTTAAGAAGGACTGGACTGGTGAACTTTCTCAATGGTTTTTAACCCACAGATTCGCTTTCCAATCTAGTGAGAAAAAATTCAAATCTGAAAGTTTTTTTCATTTCGTTTCTTTTGTACCATTAGATACATTGGATCATTTGGACGGACCAAGATATTTTGTCTTAGATACCTAATAAGTGTTACTATCTATCATAAATCTCAATAGCACTTGACCTGTGACATTTCTGTGTGGAACTCTGGGAGACCTTGCTTGCTTTGAGACTAGAGCTGTGTTTTTGTGCACTTGTGACACGATCTGCCTCACGTTTTGTGACCCTGATGAGAAATAGTCCTTGTTAACGCAAACAGAGAAGTTAATAAATCAGAACGGTATCTTTGATTGAGGTAGGCAGTTATTTAAAACCAAACTCCATTTGAGTCTCATGAGGTCGACTGCATTCAGAAGGGGAAACTACATCCACATTTGTGCCAAATGATGTGGAATATTGATGCTTTTTTCATATGCATTCAGTTTATGACCAACTTCCAGTTAAATAGATTTCAAACATGTCATGCTCACATCCATGCATCATAGCCTCTGGTTCTGGTTATCCCATCTGTTGTTCAAACTCTGAGGTTGACAAATCGTACTTCCCCGAGGGGCTGTGGTCCAAAATAGCCTGTTAGTAGTTAGTTTGTGTTTTAATAGGGCCGAGGTCCAATACTATCCTTCCGTGGGGTTGCATACTTTTGGCTAGAGTATTATTTTACATTAGCTGTTTCTTTGACTCATACTGAGGATATACTATTTAAGAGATGAAATACAAATGTATCATTTATATATGGATTCTATAAATCTACCAGAGATGTTCATGCCAGCAGTTAAGGTTCAGCATGAACTGTACTCAATTTTATAACGTCAGACATGCAGGTTTTTCATTTTACTGCATTTTGTACAAATACTAAAGCCACCAATAAATGTTTTCAGTGCTGATGCTGTTGGAAAGATTGTTTCTGGACAATTTATTGGAGTTAGAATGCAGAAAACATCTGAATTCTGTTCATCTGCAGTGCTTTGATTTCTAGTGGGTATGAAACGCACACACGAGGCTGCAAAGGTGTTTTTCTCTTAAAAAACTGATAAACCTTGTTAAAGCATCCCTCACAATTCATGGTTCTCAAGGAGCAGGGAAACCTCTCGTGCCCAAGTGAACATCTCACGTTCTTCTTAAAATGCTATGAATCTTTAACCATGTCTGTAAGTAGATGATCTTGCTGGTCACACTTAGTGTTCTTGTAGAAATGCTGTGTATGTCTTCAATATTCTTTGTCATTGACTTTGAAGACCTGGATAGGCTGGGCATGACACCATGTGTGTAACTAGACATTTGTATTTTCTTTCTATTGAACTTCACTCACCTTTGTTTTCTGTCCCATTATGAGAGATAAAGATGCTATGACAGATTTTTTTTTTTTTTTAATTGGCAGGAAATTTTATTTGCCTTTGGCTGTCTGTCATAAAATGTAGTGACATAATTTCTAAAAACAAACTGAGATCCCATTATCGTTTTTTATATGGTCAGCATCTACAGCTAACTAATTGTCCGTATTTGGATCAATGTTGAGGACGGTCTTTTTGCAATATCTGGAGAATAATTTGAGTGTCTGTCAGAAATTATATCTGTATCCTTTTATTGCAATAAAAATATAGAACAAGCATTTCGCATTTTGTTGAAAAACATCAAAATTGGTGCTTTCAGTTTTTTTTATAAAATATTTCACAAGCAAATATATTGAATTAGTTTTTTTTTTATATAATATAATTTATATTCCATTGTACTACAAACATTACAGATTGTCGCCTTAAATATAACAGGATATAAAGCCTTAAACTACATAAAGATACATTTCAAATGACAAAAACAAAAGATAACATCCAAGATAAAAATTTTTTTTGAGATATTACAAATGAGACAAACACATCATAGGATCTTATTTACATCAAACTAAACAGCTTACATACGTTCAGCTATACTAGTTCTTATGCAAGGACATATGACCTTGCAGTGCCAGTAATAACTTCATGAGAAAAGCAAATCATACAGTGCATCTGTAAATGAATAGATCACAGCTTAGAGTCTATTAAATATTAAACTAAAAGGACAATGGCTTTAGAAATGTGGTTTTGAAAATGCTAAATCCTGTGCCACCACAGGGAGGCTACAATGTTCTTTCACAAGAACTAGTTGGGTTTGACAGGCGTCCAACTAGACAAAAGCATTAGTTATTTGATTCATGTTCAGAAAGGCTCTGCACAGGTTAGTCAGTTTGAATGAAAATTAAACAACAGCTTGAGCGAGCTACAGAAAAAAAGTTTAATAAACCACATTCAATCTTAGTAGTTGAATGTACAATGGTGTCTAGTAGAGCACACAAAAGTGACTGCCAATAAACTGGCTTCCAATACAGTTTATTACAAATGAGGAACTACCGTCATGACAAACCACATAGAAAGTCAAGCTTTGTCTGTTTGTAGATGAGGAAAGTTTGTGGTAAATTTAGCCAAAAGCTACACATTGTAAAAAATAATAATAAAAAAAAACATCAAAATTAAAGTTTTATGCCCAGTGAATGAATTACATTTCCAGCTATAATGTGCATTTCAAGTTTAAACGTGGTGGAGGATTTGTAATTTCTGTTTCCTAAACTATTTAGAAGTGGATTAATCTACATAAAATACAGTACAAATTTAAATGTTAATGGTTTCGTTAATAATAAATCTTAATAAATGGTGGTTTAAAAAAAAACAAAATATTCTATAATAAATCAAATCAGTTATTTAGCATATTGTGAAGTGGTCAGCTGCAAAAACACTCCTCTAAGAAATCCTGTCTGCATCATGATGTTTAGCAGTCACAATGACATTTTAGGTTAACCAAACTTTTTGTTGCTGCTAACCTCTAACACTAAATGTGTTATTTCTCAAGTAGCACATAAGCACTTACTGCAGTCTATAATGAAACCTGTAAACCTTTGAACAGAAATGTGCAATGTAATGTAAAAATATAAATTTTGAACTAACCTTTTCAGTGAGTCAGGATGGAAATCTGAAAGGTTTTGGAATGTAAAGTTAACAGACAGTTAAGCTTGTGTGAGTGTTGTGGTGATGTTTCAGTTCTCCGTTTCTGAAGAGTCGCTGGCATCTGTTAGACGTGTTTGCTTCTTGCGGATGTTCCAGTGGAGACACTGAGCCAGACTGTCAAACCAGTCGTACACCAGATCATGACAACAGATAGAAGGGACCGGAAAGCAAGAGGTTGTGATCTTAATGCTATAATGGAAACAAACAAACAAACTCATTTCACATTTCATGATTAACAGATACGACATGTGCAGTTGAGAGTGTTGCTTGAGATAAAAGCGCAAACTGAATTTGAACTGAAAGGTTGAGTGCTGATCCCAACTGACACTGTTGATGCTCATTTCCATAACTGTAATGCAGCTGTTGTTGTATTATGGGAGAGGTCAAAGCTGTTTGCTTATGGGATTGTGTAAAAAAAAAAAAAAAGGGGTCACCTGTCCCCATGCTGGATTTCCTCCCTCTTTCTGCCATCAAACGAGACCCAGGCTGTGTTGCGAGCATCAGGTGACAGAGTTATCTACAGGGTAAATACGGTTAGCGGTAAGATGACGCAAACAAATGTTCTTCTGAAGCTCTCATTTGAGAGAAATAAATAAATAAAACCATATTTGGCAGATTAAGTTTCATCAGTGAAATGGAGAAACCTCAATCCTATTCTCACCATGAGCTCCACACCTGCGGGCACCACGATGGGTCTAAAAGAGAGGGAGTGAGGGCAGATGGGGGTGACCATGATGGCAGGGACGTTGGGATGGATCATGGAGGCTCCCGCTGCGGCAGCATAGGCCGTGCTGCCTGTGGGGGTGGAAACTATTACACCTGCAGAGAAACACACCATATATTTGCATTTATTTTCATGGCAGCTGAACTCTCTTGTCAAAGCAAATGAACAGACCATAACGTATTGAAGCATCTGCTTGAGCTAAAAGAAAGATAATGAAGCATGTCTAAACTTTTTCTCACTTAGAATGCAAAACAAATCAAAGCTACAATGCCATTAAAAAGTCTGTTGTCGGTAAGATGTTTTAATGCTTTTGATGTCTCTTATGCTCAACAAGGCTAAATTAATCTGATATACTGTAAATACAGTAAAAACAGTAATACTGTGAAATATTGTCATTTATTGCTATAACAGCAAACTGAATTTTTACCAGCCCTTACACTTCAATGTCACATAATCCTTTCAATAATCATTCCAATATGCTGATTTGATCAAGAAACATTTCTTAATACTATCATCAATGTTGAAAACAATTGTGCTACTTAATATTTCTGTGGAAACCATCATACTTTTTGTCAGGATTCTGTGATGAATAGAAAGCTAAAAAGAACAGCATTTATAGGCCAATTCACACTGCACAGACAAACACCAACAAACAAGTTGGCCGTTGGATTTAGAATTTTATGAAAATGTCATGTTCACACTGACCCAACAGACACCAACAAATGCTGACTGAACATGTTCACTCGGGTGAAAGGGGTAACACACTGATCAGACAAAACCCAACAAACGTGTTTGTTGTTGTTTGTCTGTGAGGTGTGAATTGGCATATATGTCAAATAGAAATTTTTTGAAACATTATAAATGTTTTTATTGTCACCTTTCATCAATTTAAAGCGTTCCTTGCTGATGATTAAAAGTATTAATTATTTTGGGGGGAAAAAACATTAACCAGACCCCTAATTATCCCATATTAAGTGGATTGTTTGTGAGCACAATGGTGACAAGATAAAAAAGGATCTATCAATGCTGTTTGCAGCTGAAGCGTATGATTGTGCTCACCGTCTCCCAGTACAGATGTGATGAGGCGTCCATCCAGGTAAAGATCAACGTTAGACAGGTAGGATGAAGGCCCTCTGTCCACCACCACCTCATTTAGCACCTTTATACACACATAATATCCACATCACAGAGTGCGAATTAATCAATTACACATAAAAGCATCTAACAAACAGATGTGTTTCTGTATAAATCACATGCCACTCTGGTCTAAAATAGCCATCTTGGACGTAGAAAACAGACTATTAATGACATTATGTTATTGCTATGGCAACTGGACATGCAGAGGTATCACAGCTGTTATTTTCAAATAACTCCAATTATGTCTGTTACCATGGAAAACATCTTTGAACAGTCTTGACAGATGGATTTTTGTCTGTAAGATAATATTCTGAGAGTTCCCTTAGAAGACATTCAGGCATTTTCCTTGTGCAACATTTTAATATCTGCTTTGCAGACAATTGTATCTATTACATTAGTTTTCTTGTCTCCTCAACAATTAAAATAATTTATAGTTATTACTGTAAACTATATGAGTGCTAAATTCTAAAATAATTGTTGTAATTTTTTTAAGATAAAAAATGTTATACTCTTTGTAAACAATATGTACATGCATGTGTATATTTATATGTCTATAGATATGTATGTACATGCACTCTACCGTTCAAAGGTTTGGGTTTGGTAAGATTTTTACAGATTGTTTTTTTAAAGAAATCTGTTCAACCAAGACTGTGTTTCTGGGTTTATTTGATCAGTAAATGTTATTACAATTTAAAATACTGTTTCTAATGCAATATATTTTTAAACATAATCCCTGTGATGGAAAAGCTGAATTAAAAAAAAAAAAAAAGCTGGATTTAATTTTCTAATTAATTTTTCTTTTCAGGATTCTTGGATGAATAGAATGTTCAAAAGAACAGCATTTGTTTGAAATAGAAATCTTTTGTAATATTATAAATGTATAAATTTACTGTCACTTTTGAAAAGAGGCCATGAGTTTGCTTTATGGCTTCTACCTTAGTATGACATGTGATTGGTTCACACATATCATCAGATTTTATTCAACATCCTTATTAGGGGATTTTAAGTTTGAATTTTGACAGTGTTTGTGTAGCGTTTGTTAAGCCTATGTGCCAAAACATAATGGCATACTAAAGACAGACTTTGTCTCAAGCTCAAGTGTTGCTGGTTTTGTGTTCAGCAAATACTTTGTTAGTGCTGCGCTACCTGTAACTGTAGCGTGATTTTGCCTGCCTCATTATTTATGTGGTTATGAGGCGCTATTCCATTCTCCTGAGGGCTGAAGAGCTGCTCGTTCCTCTGGAACATGCCTTTCACCACCTTAACCTTCAGACGACTGCGCAGGATGATGGCAGCATTACCTATAGAAGTCAGACACGAACACTTAAAACAACATAAAAATCTAAAACAGTACATTACAAACTAAAACGGCAGTTTTTCTAGTTTCAGAGATGGAAAATATAAGAAACTCTTAATCACTCTACCTTCAAACACTTTATCCACCTCTGTTTTAAAAGACTCAAACTTGAATGGTGTGAGAAATCCTAAGGAGCCCAGATGGAAGGCCATGACCGGGGGAACGCTGCCCTTAAACAAATGAGACAAAACCACATTTCATTCTTAAATAAATCTCTAAACAACTCACTTTTGCATATCCAAATTCTCTCAACTTTTATGATGCACACACAGACCATCCAATGGAAAGCAGCTGAGACTGACCTAGTAGGAGACTCTTGGGCACAAACAAATGAGATGAGATGAGAGAATACCTGGAAAAGAGATGATGCATACAGAAGAGTCCCATCTCCACCCAAACAAATAATCAGATCGATGCGGTCTGAGATGTCGTCATACCCTGTGTGAACACGATGAATCACTCATTTTCCTAATGCACTCAATCTTTTATTGGTTAATGTTGTGTCATGGTTATGTAAAACAGGTGAACCTGCCGATAATTCGCTCCTATCCAATCCAAAACAATGAGGTTTCAGTACCTTCCCTGAATGTGCACAGCTGATTGCGAATGGCTGAAAATGAGTCATCCGTCATGAGAGAGCCATCGTCCACAACTTTCTTCTCCACATAAACCATCAGATGTTTCTCCTGATGTTGGGAATAATTTAGATAACATTTGTGTAACCAAATCTAAAAAAAAAAAAATCTAATGATCCAGCGAAAAAAATGAAAGGGTAACAGTAGCGAACGTAACTTCCTAGCCTGTTAATCAACTACTAATGTTGCTTTTGTGTAACCTACCTCCACAAGGAACCTGCAAAGCTCTTTGAACGGCTCCAGAAGGGTCTCGTCTCGGATCTTTCTGATGACCAGGACGTTGAGCGGTGGTTTGCTCCAGGTAAGCCGCTGGCTGGCTGGATCCTGAATGTGCCTGCGGGGAAAGTCGACAGAGTAGGCAAACATTGTATGTGTTGGCACTGCACTCCAAACAAAGCAAAATGGCATGTACTTTGTCCTGTTTCTACACTCGTTACGCAACTTACAGTCATGGTCAAACGGTGAAAAGCACAGTTATGTAGACTTCTGCTTTTGGTTTCTCAATAGTTCTAGGATCAGATTGTTTTCGGTATTAATAAATGAAAAAAATTGAATGGATGTCGTTTGACACATTCACAGTTTGTTTTTTGTTTACTTCAAAAATGTAAATTTAAATAAATCTTTAATACACACATCTTATTTATTCTACCAAGGAATAACAAAGTCCAACATAATCCAATATATCTCCACTAAGTTTCTAAAATGTATTGTTGCATGATATCCAGAATAAGTCATTTTTAGAGATTCACTCTAATCATCATTCTTGATCTGAAATATACAGAAACGCATAACTAACATATCTCATAACATTTAAACAACATGTTCAGCACAACATCAGATATCAGACTAGAGAACCACACATTACCCTCTGCATGTGGTTTGTCCTGGGGGGCGTAAAACAGGCATAGTGCTGGGGGGGCTTTTGGATGGGGTGCGTTAGAAAGTTCCAGCAGGACCATTCTTGTGACAGCCACACCAGTACCTGACTGCGCTGCTCTCCAGCTTCATCCAACAAACCACCCTCAACCAATCAGAACTCAGCACACAGCCTTATCACTACATTTGTCCAAACATTTGCTTGATTTAAAGTTTAAACAGTAACAAGAGAGGAATGTGACCTGGCCCCTTACCTAAAGAAAGCCTGACTTTGCTTACTTACATGACTGAGGTTGGGTTGGGAAGAACACAAGCTTTGGGTCCAAAATGAGTAGCAGGATATGGTCCATGTAGAAAGTGCCCTCGTCTGCAACAAAGAGGATCTTACGTCACTACACATTTCAATCTTTATGGTTCAACCGGTTTAAATCAAATGGTGTGTTTTGTACCTGCATCTATCCCATCTTTTTCGGCAACTCTCAGCAGTGTCCTCCACTGATACAGAGGCTTCTGATTCGGGCTGCTCAGGCAACCGATGTACGCTTCCCCCCAACAGGTGTTCTGGACAGTCCGGCCTCCGAAGAGACCTCTTCACCTCTTTGTGTCTCCTTGGAAGTTTCCCCTGCCGCTCCTGCTGCCTCTGTGACTGCTTAGATGAACCACTCTCCTCCACCTTTCTGGAGGGTGGCTCATCTTCCATGCCTTCAATTCTTATTGGGGAAAAAAGCAAATAAACTCTAAAATGAGTTGAGAAGACCTAAGCGGGCCCCCTCATTATGGGTACATATATTTCCAGGTAGCCCTGCTTTATATAGGATCTTGTTGATCAAAATAGACATTTGACAAGCATTACAAAACAACAGCTTATGTGAACAGAAAAATCAAACATATTCAGCTGGTGTCATGTGTTAATACATTTACTTATATAGTAGCTGACATGAAATACTTCAGGGAAGTTAACATGGTTTGCATTGAGGCATGAAAAACTCCATTTAAAATATTTAGTAGCTGACATGAAATACTTTAGGGAAGTTAACATATCCTGCATTGAGACATACAAATCTCCATTTAACTGTTATTTAACAAGTATTTGTTACTGCACAATAAGCAAAGGCAGCTTACTTAATTATACTACTACAAATGCAAACTATCACGCTACTAACAAGGATTTTGGAGTGACAAGGAGCAGTAATCTCGAACACATTAAGCGACACGAAACTGCACTGAAGACAGAACAGTAGGAACATTTTCATCGACCAAAACTTCCTTAAATTAGCCGCACGGTTAGCTAACGTTAAACACATTTCACCAGCGCTTACCAAACCACGAGAAAAACGCGGAACTTCCCTTTTGGACTTTACAGTCTTTCACAACTGAAGAGGTCGATTTAATACACTTGACGGCGTTACCTTGACAGCAATACTATTTCTGTACCAGTTTACGGCTTATATGTTATGCTCAGTAATATTATGGGATGTCCACAATGACATCACGAGGGTGCTCGTGACACTCTGAGAAGGAAATAACGAAAATGTTATCTGTGTATGGAGCCAGACCGAAAAATAATACATTTATAAAACAAAATTCATAAATGCACAGCACAATTTACATTTACAAAATCCGATTCGTAAATTCAAAACACAATTCATAAATACAGAAGTAAAAGCATAAATATTTCCCCAAATGCTCACACAAAAGCATCTTACCTAAATAAATTTAAAATGTTTACACAAATATGTATATATCAAGTTCTTGAATTAATTTCCATCACACATTTATGAATGATGTTACATGTATTTATGGATCGTTGAATCTGCATTTGCAAATCATCACATGTGCGTGGACTGCTTTGAATTTGTGTGTGGTATTTTTGAGACCTTCCTGGCAGGTTAAGATTCATAAATATCTTTTTTTGGAGGATGTTCCGTTCAGCCAATCGCGGTGAGCTTTTAATCCACCAATCAAAACGCTCTTTACTGAACAGACTCAAGAAGCTCAACGCTGCGCTTGTACTGTGCATTGTTTCTATGATCGGGTCCTTGATGTAAAGACATTTTAATGGGTACTCTTTTTTTTTTAGCACCTGATTACAATTTCTACAAAATCACATTATGATTTATATCGTTCGCACAAAATACAGCTACCCGGTTAGCCTGCTGTCTTATACACCAAAGTTGCACATACCCTGTTTATTCAGATCAATCTGTAATGTTATCAAATAAGTGTTAAATGTCCAGATATTTCATTTAATAACAACAATT